TAAAAGCAGCATCAGGGCCTAATGAAAGCTTCACACACACCTCGGTACACCGTGCCATGCATGTTTCATGCGCTCCGTGGCCCTTCTTAAGGAGAGCTTTGTTCAGAAAAGTGCTGGGCTGGAACTGGTTGGTAACTCTGAGCTGTTGCTTGCCTGTTGCTGTGTGTGTGTTTTCTAGAGGTAAGCTTCGGGTAGATTCCTAAATAAATTTGCACGGGAGAGAGGGAGGTCTCGGTCGTTCATTCTGCTTGTGTGCATATTTTTCCTGTTAATTGCGGAATAGGGTGTGTTTACATGCCAGGAACACTTCCCCAAAGTATACGACATGCAACAAAGTGACACAAATCTCCTATATTATATATTTCCTGTAATCAGTAGCTGTTTGGAGACTCTGATGATGTCAGATAGTGTGTGAATTGCTGCTCTGTGCCAGGCCACATAAAGGCGTAATGCTACTCATTTGCAAATATTTACACACACAAGCTTTGAGGGCCTAAAGATCCTAGTGATTAAGTCTACTCATCTACATTGAAAATTTAAAATCTGTAGCAAAGAAAAAGCATTCAAAGCTACTATATACCACAATCTTAAAGACATTTTGGTTGCAACTTGGTGATAAAAAAGTGAGGATATTTGAAACAATAGTGTTTTTTTTTGCTTTTAATTAAACCAAAAGTCCCACATAGGCCATAAAACACTACTACACCAACAATGAAATAGATTTTTTTTTCCGATTGAATTTTAATTGATTTTATATTTTGGTTTCACGCTCTCCGAGTGTGAGTTTTCTTTAAATCTGAGCATAACTGAACCAAACCCACCTGAGACAAGACTGATCATAGTCTAAGACAAGGTGTTTTCAATTTTTCATTATTATTATTATTATTATTATTATTATTATTATTATAGCAGAATATTTTTACTGTCTGAAAAAAAACATGAAATAATATTGTATTATTATTATAAAAGGCCTATTTTTACTGTCTGAGAAAAAACATTATATAGTGAATACAACATATTGTTTATAAAATTAAATACTTATATTATTGTTTTATATAATTATCTTACTGAATTATCTTGAAAATATATACTTTGGTTTTAGCATATTATTAAAATACTCAATTTATATTGTATATAGTACACTATATATATTTTTGGCATACTATTAAGAGTGATGTTAGATGTATATAATATTTTTGTTAGGTTAAAACCCCCTGGTTTAAGAGACCAAAGTTCAGTATTACATAAACAACATGCTGCATTTTGCCTTTGCATGACAGGCGTGACGTCAGGGGCTACAGAAAAAACCCACCCGATGACGCTTCGTGTTGCGCTAGCTCGAATCCAGAGGAGGATGCACGACCATTGTTGTGCTTGCCTCTAAGGAGAAATTGATAAACTGTTTTCAGACTTTTTCCAGGCACTTATGTACTGTTCTCGGCATGGAGTTATTCCGAGTCTGTTTGCAGGGTCTTTGTGTGATAAATAGCTAGTCTTATATATGAAATGAATGTGTGGTGGTGTAGAGGACGTCTTTGTGTGGCCTGAACTGCTCTCTCTGCCTCCCTCTTCCTCTCAGAAAGCCTGCGGGGTCGAGGCTCTAGGCTCAGACAGTGATGCATGCTTGTGTGCTTTTAGAGGACCTTGACCCTCATTTCCGCAATGTGAAACCTAACAAACAAATGTCCCCGATCACCTATGTCCTCTAATCACAGCAATGACAGGAAATAAAAAACATCAAATATGAATAAAGTTTGTTCTTTTTTTCTGGATCTGATACTTTACTTATAAAACTTGTTTTTAAACAAGTGTTTCATGTCACATTGTGCACTTGTGAGGAAAACAGTTTTTCATTAGAACCATCAGCTGTATTTCTGTGTCTTCAGTTGCCATGGGTGGCATGTATATGTGTGTTCAGAGAGAAAGAGAGAGTGATTCATGGCAAACGGGTTTAAGTGTGTGTGTGTGTGTGTGTGACAGAGAGCAGCCTGTTAATAGGCTGCAGTGTGTGTATGTTTTGAGTAGAGTCACTGATTCACGGCTGTGGGGGACATCTTGTGTGGAATTGGAGGATGGAAACAAAGCTGAGGTTTTTGGATGAAGTGTTAGCTGGGCCAGATGGCTCGCTATGCTCCAGTCTGGCAGCCCAACTGCTTGCTGCACACATAAACATACACATGCAAATGCACAAATACATGCGTGATTGCATACACATGCATGGAGTCTCACAGATGCAGGCTTATGGCAGCTCACGCACATACATCTTTCCTAGAGGGCTATTTCACACTAGCTGGAGTACAACACTTCTTTCGAAGGACCTGTAATTAAGCAGTTTATCGGTTTGTCCTCCTTTATCTCTTTTTCAATTCACAAACATCTTTTCTCATGTGGTAATAATGGTGCTTTGCTGTACAATAATGTTTTGTGTTGCTGTATTATTAGCCAATCTGTGAGCCCCGGATGCCTGCGGAGGGTGGTCACTGTGGCAAGGGTGGTGCGCTATGATATAATAGGACAGTAATCTGCACAGTCCAACAAACACTACACACATAGTTCTTTTGATTCTCTAGTCTGCTTTTAATTAAACCAACGAGCAACAAATATTGGCCCTGAATGTTGTCAAGAGCATACAATGCAGAATTGTACAAGATTCAGAATTGAAGAATTGGCCTCTTTTCAGTTAATGGGAGTGAGTTGGAATTGAATTAGCCACACCTCACAGGAAGTTCAATTGGAATGACAGGAGAAGTGTAGTCTATCTACACTAGATAGACTATCTATCTATCTATCTATCTATCTATCTATCTATCTATCTATCTATCTATCTATCTATCTATCGATCTATCTATCGATCTATCTATCTATCTATCTATCTATCTATCTATCTATCTATCTATCTATCTATCTATCTATCTATCGATCGATCGATCTATACAGTATATCTATCATCTATCAATCATCTGTCTTGAAAAACTTTGCCTTTTTAGTTAAAAATGACAGCTACATGAATGTTCTTACATTCAATTTGAATCGCAATTCAGTCACACACATGTCCATTGTGAATTGTGTGCAGCTCTGATACAATTAACATCTAGCCTTAATAGTTTTTGTCGAATCTGAAACAAAGATATCTGAAGTAAAGATACTTTGTCAAATCTGAAGTAAAGATAAAATCAGTCGCCAGTTGTCAGTTACCAGTGATAATGATGTATTAGATTGGATCTTAAAGTAATAATTCACTCAAACATAAAAACTCTTGTCATCATTTACTCACTTTCACATTGTTCCAAACCTGTATGACTTTGGTAACACTTTATTTCGATTGTCCACTTTAGACATTCTATTAACAGTAAGTAACTTTGCAACTACATGTCAACTAGCAGTTAGCAGAGTATTAGTAGACTGTCTGCTTAATATCTTCTAACACTTTCTTTGTCAACTTATTCTACTAACCCTAAACCTACCATAACAGTCTACTCAGAGAGTTAGTAGACATGTAGTTGCAAATTAATGAGAATTAGTTGACATGCAATTGACATGTAGTTACAAAGTTACTTATAGTTAGTAGAATGTCTAAAGTGGACTATCGAAATAAAGTGTAACCATGACTTTTTCTTCTGTGGAACATAAACAGAGATAAACAGAATGATCACACTGCTCTTTCCCATGCATATAGGTTCAGAAAGTACCATAAAAATAGATAATTTAAGTAACTCTTTTGTGAAGAACACACAGAAGTCTTTATTCTTTAAGTCTTTATTGATTTGCAGATGTGCACATTCAAACTTTGCTTGTCGCCATGTTTGATGTCAATGACATCAAACACCATTGGTTCTCACATAACTGAACATGATGCGCCAAGTTTAAGCTCTCATAGAGGTGGTTAGGGATCGTTTTCCATTGCAGCAGGTAAGTGGACATTAAATTGCCCACTTTGAGCCTGGCTCAGTCAGAGATGGCCCACCCCATACAAGGAGGCTCCGTACAAGCATTCCCATGGTGCACAGGGCAGTTTTGATTGATTGATTGATTGGCTGAAACGAAAAGACATCTATGAAATTCAGAGCCCAATGTCTGGAGTGAGAAACATGGGACCAAATGAACAGAACATTCTGATAACAGAAATTAAAACCAACCTGATCATTCCCTTGCTGCATGAGATCTTTCAATGGCAGTCCTATGCCAGATGGAAGATGGGTCACGTTAACCGCCTATAAGTGCTGCAGTGTGTGTATGGCGTGATGTCATAATGTTTTTGTTTCATTGAAACGATGCAAACAGACATTCGATTATTTTCATGATAGGATTTAAACACTCTAAGTTTAACCCTAACATAAGTTAGTCATGGAAATTTGTGCATGCTCAGAGCGTTTACACCACAAGGAGAAAATGTTGTTTGTCAATTTTTCTCTAACCACATTTTTCCACCTTCTCTTGTTCATCAGGCAATTATCTATGAAGGGCAAGACAAAAACCCAGAGATGTGCCGGGTCCTGTTGACGCACGAGATCATGTGCAGGTGAGAAACACACACACACACTGTACGCCACACTCCTTCCTTCACTATTACACAATCAAGCTCTTGAACCTTCCCTACCCAGCTCTGCCCGCTGACTGTGAGAGCTTTACTTTGGCATCGTTTTGGTCTTGGCAAGACTGCAGACCACTGGATCCAGAGTTAGTGTGACAGGACTGAGCTTTCTGCTCACACACACACAGCTGTGTGTAAGCCCTGTTGTAAAATTAGATGTAAGGGGGAGGATAGATTAACATTATTATAAATTTGCTGAAAGTTCAGATCATTATTCTTTAATTTATCATACACGTCCGTCAAACCTGGTATAAACAGTTTACTTTAATTTAAGAGGGATGTAGTACATTTATATCAAGGCTCAAATTTAGAATTACGATGCACTATTACACAAGACACTCCCAGATTATTTTTCACCAGTCCAAATGGGATCCTGATAAACTTATGCCAGCCTGTTTCCTATCAAAGTGTTCTTTCCCAGACTCTGCCTCAGCCTTAGAAATCAAAGCTTGGCTTTGTCCAGAAAAGATGCCAGGCAGCATTTCTATTTTTGGAGGCTGATGTTTCAGTGATTGGTGGTTCTTATTTTATTTCTTGATGAAATAAATACAGAGACACAAAAATACACTTCTGTACAGTTCATTTTGTGTGCCATTCAGAATTGTAATTCCTGAATATGTACTGAATTTGAACTGAGCAATTAGGATGAAGAATTGCCATTTGAATAATACATTTTTAACCAAACTAATTTTAACTAAAAAGCAAAGTTTGTGAAGACAAACATTTTGTATAATTTTGAGGAAAGTGTAGCCTTGACGGTTTACAGAGATAGATGGATGAATGGATGATGTACTTGATGTTCACCCAAACATGAAAACAACATGAACAACTCTTTTAAACCTGTGTTACTTACTTTAATCTGCTGAACATAAATAAAGATGTTAGACATCTTAATTGATTATGCTGCTCTTTCCCATATAGATCCAAAATGTACCATAAAAGTAGATAAACAATAGCTTTTTTGTTAGGAACACACAAATATTTAAGCCATTAATCATTCATTTGCAGATATGCATATTTAACTTCCTATTAAATTCACATTATTGAATTGAAAGGGAGACAATTCTGAATTTTGCTCATCCATGTTTGTAGTGACAGCATAAGCAATGGAATTTTCATGAGATGAAAACTGAACAAAGACGGACCTAAAGTTAAGAGCAACCCTTGTCTCTCTCCCTTCCTGAATCTCTATCCAGGTCATCCACTTCCTGCTCTGCAAGAAAAAGAGAGCGAGAGAAAGCCATGCACCTTTAATTAAAATCAAAAGATAAATTCCTTGCACTTAAAACTGGGTTGTGGCGATGAGTCCTCATCTATATTTGGTTGAAGTGGAGAGCATTTGAACAGTTTTCTACTAAAAATATACCACTCATGCTTGGCTAATTAGGACAAGGAAAAACTCATTACTCAATAAGAATCCTCTTGTTATTCCACAGCTAATGAATGCAGCTTGCTTAGTTTTGACAATGAAATATGTGCAGGAGAGCCAAGGCTCTCTCGTTCTCTTTCAATCTTTCGCACCCTCTCACTACCTTTCTTACACACACACATGCACACACAGCCTTCTGTTATCGCACTTTCAAAATAGTCACTGATTTAAAGATGTGTATTGACAAACGCTTAGTACCATACGTGTCTACAAAGGCTCACCACGTCAGTTTTGATCTGCTACTGTAGGATAACACAGATCACGTCTGAAGCACATATCGCTACTGGTGCAGAAAGGTACCCTTAAGGTCCCACGTTTCATACCAGAGAGCTTTCCAAAAGCATGTGTTTCAAATGAGTAAACAACCCATTCTCGTCTCTATCTTCCTCCTTTTCTCTTCTTCATCTGTATATAGTGTTTTGATGCAGAGCCTGTGCTGAGAGAAAGGCACAATTACCAGTCTGCAATTAGACTGCTCTCCATTAATCAGGGCTGTTAATTGCTGTACGCCTTGCCATTAGCCATATGGTGCCGCATGGGCCTGCAAGCAAGAGACAGTGACACATTTTCCCAAACAACTCGCTCAGAGGCAAGGTTAGAAACAATCGCTCAAACGCAACTCTGGGCTCTTTATGATGGAGTTGCACATCCTCATACGCACGGAATGATGAGGTTTTGTTTGGTTTGTGTGGTGCAGATGAAACATCACAAACTTGGCCAGATTATTAAAGGCTGGGTGGTCACAGTTGGAGAAATGCTGTTTTTTTTTGTTTTGGGGGCTATTTTAGACCTGCTGTCTGTAAAGGAGCTGGACTAAGGGTAGTTCAGCTTTAATGGAATCAGTACGGGCCACATCCTGGTAATTATGTGCGGCAATTTGGATTTAATTTCTTCAAACGCAGCAGGAGGAAACGCTTGAGATTAGTATAGTGATTTTTCTTTTTTTATATATTATAGTTTTCATTTATAATTTAAAATTATTTATTTATAGAAGTGTTACATTATAAATATATTTAAATAAAACATTTTCTTTTGGGAACACATTGGCAGCACTTAATAAAACACACAAAGGCACCTTTCCCCCTTCTGTTCGACCTGAAATCCTTCCAGGATGTATGTCCCCGTTAAGTGCCCTCTTTAATTTTACCTCTCCTCCTCCTCTCTGCCCTCGTCTTCTCTCTCCATCACTAGATAACTGCCCTGTTATCAGCCACACTTCTAATCCTTATAACCATCCCTGAGCCGGGCAGTCTGTTAACGGTAATAACTAATACACAGGCCGAGAGGCAGCATATTGTGGGCCGTGTGTACAGCAGGAGTGAATGTCTGCCTTGTAAGAGCCAAAGAAAGACTGCTTTATAATTGCTACCTCTTCCTTCTCCACTGTGTTTGAGGTCAGTGCTGACATATGTGCAGTAACACCCAGGTTAACTGCTCTCTTCATATCTTTCTCTCCCTCCATCTCTACTAGTCGCTGCTGTGACAAGAAAAGTTGTGGCAATCGTAATGAGACGCCCTCCGACCCAGTCATCATCGACAGGTAAGAGCTGGATATCAAATGTTTGTGCGTTTCCCCATATTTGATAATCAAACGCCTTGATAGACAGGAAGTCCAGTGCAAGTGTTGAAAGTGGCGTGATTGAAATGTAGTGAGTTATGAAGGAGAACAGTTTGTCAGGGTAGATTCCATTTTTAATTTGACACAAATAACAAAAAAAGAGTTTGTACAGGAACTTTTTTTTTTGCTTTAAGTTTCCCTTCCACACCCCACTTTCCTAAAACAATTAAGACCCAAAATGAAGAAGAAAATAAATGTTTATATCTTTATATTCTATCAGTTTATACCAGTATATCATACCTTTCAAAAGTTTGGGGTCAGTAAGATTTTAGTTTTTTAAGAAATTAATACTTTCGTTTAGCAGGAATGAATTCAATTGATCACAGATGCCAGTAAAGACATTAATAATGTTACAAGATATTTATATTTGAAATAAATTATTTTCTTTTAAACTTCCTATGTATCAAAGAATCCTGAAAAAATATTGTTTTTGTAAAATATTAAGCAGCACATTTGTTTTCAACACTGATAAAAATAAGAAAGGTTTCACTGAATCAGCATATTAGAATGATTTTCATGTGACACTGAAGACTGGAGTAATGGCAGCTGAAAATTCAGCTTTGCCATCACAGAAATACATTTAATTTTTAAATATATTAAAATAGAAAACAGCTATTTAAAACTGTAATAATATTTCACAGTAATACTGTGTATTTGTAATGGGAAAACAATTACTGACCCCAAACTTTGGATTGGTAGTGCACAAACAAATAACAGACTGCACTTATTTTCCTATACAACCTGTTTTAATTCATATCAAGTTAAATAAGAGCCTATGTTTAATGCAGTGGTAGCATCACTACAGATATAATGCACTAAATAAATTCAAATCACTTTAAAACAAATCAAAATGACAAGTGTTGCTCTAAAACGGCTTTGTGAACACACTCTGTGGCTGCTCTGTATCACTATATACGCTCTATTGCTCAGTATAAAATGTTACAAATCAAAGGCAGCAAAGTTCAAAGAATTCACCATCAATGAGAAAAACAAGCATAAAAAAGCCTTCCTGGGACCAGAAGCCATTTGTTTGCAAGAGTAATTGTTTAGTGATCGGGCTAGGCTGTTTTGAGGCCCTGTTGTTGAGTATGTAGTGTGCTCTGAAGTGTGCATGTATGAATAATCAGCAGTGAAGATGTGCAAGACTTCTGGAGGCAGCAGCGTGTGCAGCGAACCGTGTCTCCTACTGTTTTTGTTTAAAAGATCATACAAGCGTGTCACGTTAATATTGAGGGAGAGACTATTACATTTCTGACTAGATCGTGCTGTAGTGCGAGCAAACTAAGCATGGATTTCTGCAGATTAAAGTGTGTTTAAGTGTCAAAGTTGTGTTCTCATCTGTGTGTTAATAAGTCAGTGGCCTGTGCTATCAGATGAACACAGCTGTAGGTTCACCACGACTTTGCCAGCAATAGTGTAGTGTGTGTGTGTTTGTAACAGAGTAAGAGAGGCTTCTACCTGGCTGCTGTGTCTGTGCGGCTGGCCCATTTCTGCTCCACTGGGCTAGAACGCTTCACAGCTGCAGCCCCTCGATGCCACGTGGCATCACCTCCACCCAACGCACACGCTGTCACGTTAATATTGAGGGAGAGACTATTACATTTCTGACTAGATCGTGCTGTAGTGCGAGCAAACTAAGCATGGATTTCTGCAGATTAAAGTGTGTTTAAGTGTCAAAGTTGTGTTCTCATCTGTGTGTTAATAAGTCAGTGGCCTGTGCTATCAGATGAACACAGCTGTAGGTTCACCGCGACTTTGCCAGCAATAGTGTAGTGTGTGTGTGTGTTTGTAACAGAGTAAGAGAGGCTTCTACCTGGCTGCTGTGTCTGTGCGGCTGGCCCATTTCTGCTCCACTGGGCTAGAACGCTTCACAGCTTTCAAAGACAGCTGCAGCCCCTCGATGCCACGTGGCATCACCTCCACCCAACGCACACGCTCACACAAACCCACTGCCCATCACTTACTCTTCTCAATTGTTTCCCTACATAAACTTTGTCTGAAATGCTTCCTCAGATCCTCCTGTTGTAGCTGTTTGTGGTCTGAACGGTTATGTTTCGGGTCTGGCTGAAGTCATGCAGCTGCACTCAAGGTCACCGCAGACCCCTTTAGGCTCAGGTGCGAGGGCATCGCTAATTGGCTGCAAATAAAAAAGAATTAGTAACAGTTTCCTATTAGTCATGTGTCTCTCCAAGCCGGGAAAATAGGTCATTTGAAACGAGAGGGGGGAAATATGGAAGAGTTTACTGGAACTCTCAATATTTTCTTGGCCGCATTCACATGGGGTTCCCAACAAACAAGGCGCAAGATGGAACAGAATCAATTACGGCAAGCACAGACGAGCGTTCGCTCCCAAATTCATCAAAAATATGATTTTGAACGTCTTCCTTCCCTTGAAGTTATTTAGCTGAATAAATAAGAGCTCATTAGTGTGGCCTTGTTTCAAAGAGCTGATTAGGTTTTACAGCAGTAATTAGCAAGGCTAGCGCTAATTCCTCTGGAAGAGTAATGAAAGTGATTTCCTAATTAGGTTCCTCTCATAAGATAGCACAACAGGCCACTTCAGCGAAACCAGAGGAATGTCAGGGAAATATAGCCAACTAACAATGCCTTATTAGATTGTTAAAAGAACAAATCTTACTCACAGCAGTGCGAGATGTGCGCTCATGGGACCAGGTTCGAGTTCTTGGACTCATTGGGAAGTTTTGAAAATCTGATTGGGGTCAATTGAATTACTCATGTGAAATTAAAACTGGCCCGCTAGCTAGCTTTCTTCTCAGAGGGTGTTTAGTTTACGTTGGATGGCTGTATCTAATCTCATTTTATGTGTAAATGTATGTGTCGTGATTGACTCCTCATCTTCTCCTTTTCTTCTCCTCTTTTACATTGGGAGCTCTATTAATGCCCCAGTAAGATTATTTCAAATACTTTAATCTGCTCTCATTGACACGGACACAAAAGCCCAGTGACATCTAATAGCAACCCTTTTCACTACCTCCTGTTTCATCTCTTTCACATCCCTTAGAAGCTCTCTCTCTCTCTCTCTCTCTCTCTTATTCTCTCTCTCTATTTCTTTCTCTCTTATCATTGTGTGTGTTAGGAATAATTGAAGCTCAATAAGCCATACAGTAATGAGGAAAGGTGTCGTTCTATCTCCCTGGGAACATTGCAGTTGATGCCTTCATCACCATGGATACACTTAAACACTGATAGTGATTTCGGAGTGCAGAAAGTTCAGAGTTCCCGCACTAACCGTGGGAGTTCTGTGGTCGTGAGCCCTGACCCCACTGGAAGGCTTCATTTGTGATGTAATCTTCAACATCTGGATATCCACTTCATGAAGAAATAACACAGCAAAGGAAGGAAAACACCACGGAAAGGGTTGATGTGCCCTTTCTCTGAATGTTTAATGGAGGTCTTTTGCTCGCAACTATGCTGCTGGCTAGATTTGACCTTCTAGAAGAAGACCTTCAGCTCTCATGAAAGCAGAACAGGAAGTAATGTTTCACAGGGTGCTTTCACAGAACCATTTTTGCTCCTGCTCTGCTAGGGGCTGCTCACAGAGGATGTGCTATTTTATTCAAAAAGAGTATGAGAATGCAATAGAACATATTTCTAAAAGTTAAACTTCTTTTAAAGTGATATAACGACTTACAAACACAGTGCTCATGGATTTAGATGCTGAACAACATCCATTTAACACTTGTTTACACAATTAAAAATAGCCCAGATAGACGCAATAACGAGTCTTTTGTGAACAGCCCCTTATGGTGCATTATGGAATGCTGCCAATTTATTTGTCATCTGCAGTTTGTTTAAAAACAAAATGATTATATACACTACTGTTCAGAAGTTTGGGGTTGAAACATTTTTTTTATTATTATTATTTGAAAAAAGTTTCTTATGCTCACCAAAGCTGCTTTTATTTGATCAAAACTACAGTAAATCATAAAAACTACAGGGAATGTATATCAATTATATAATATTATATGATTATATACAATTATTATTATTAGCATTTAAAATATCTGGTTTCTATTTTAATATATTTTAAATAGTAATTTATTCCTGTGATATCAAAGCTGAATTTTCAGCAGCTATTACTACAGACAAGTTTTTTTTTTTTGATGAATGGAAAATTAAAAAGATGAACATTTATTTGAAATAGAAATCTTTCGTAATGTTATAAATGCCTTTACTGTCACTTTTGATCAATTTAATGCACTCTTGCTGAATTAATTATTAATTTCTTTCATTAAAAAAAATCTATCTAGTCTGCTGAGCTATAAAGGAGCAACATTTGAGCAATAAAACTGCACCTCAAGACTGGATAGTCGGGAAAGAGACAGTGACAGGGAGCAGCATTATATTCTTGCAGTATTTTTGCATTAGTGGATTAGGGGGCTCTATTTCACAGAGCTGTTCTCTGAATCAGTGGCCAGAGAGTGATCCTCACAGGCTGGGGCTCCCATTGTTAACATAATCCTGTCCGGTCTGTAGACCTATTGTGTGGCAATTAAGACTGAGAGACTGTGGAGAGCTCAGCGTGAGCATGTGTGTGTGAGCCATGACAGTAATAGAGTGAAAGAAAGTATTTGCGTTAAACATGTTTCTGCCTTCTCTCCGAAAATTAACTGGCGAGTCTTTCACTCTAAAAGAGATACACAGGAAGTGCGAGTGAAGGAAAATTTGTGCGTTGGCCTTTAAAAAGTGTGCGTGACTCTCCAGGCTGGGCTGTCACAGCTGCTGAAAGGTGATGTGCTCTACGCAGTGACAATGTCTCTTCCTGGAGAGAGAGAGAGAGAGAGAGTGTGTGTGTGTGTGTGTGTGTGTGTGTGTGTGTGTGTGTGTGTGTGTGCACGTGCGTGTTTGTGTATAGGTGTATACGTGTGGCCTACTTAAGCCCAAACGGTGCAGGAATAATA